TCTTGGCAGGAAACCTCTCCCCAACTTGGGGTGCTGTAATAGTTCAATGAACAATCCGTTGCGGGATTGAATTTTTTTATAGTGGAAGTGCCATAAAAGCACGAACCAAGATGAATCTCCATCTACCATTGAAGGAAACTGACTTGGCTGAATCCTGCACAGAATGGAGAAGAAAGAAACCGTTCTCCTAACCCAGATCATGAAGAATGGATTGTGACTAATCAGCTGTTAATGGGATGGCTTCTGGGATCCGTTTCAGAACCTCTACTCACCAAAGTAACTGGCCCACCAACATTATATGATGAGTAGATGAAGTTAGAAAATGCACAACCAATGAACGACTAATGCAATGAACTATCGCCAACAGATGCGACGTACAACTAAAAGGCTTAATGCCCATTGATGAATATGACAGGGCGGTGTCACTAATTACTCACCAGAAGGCCATAATCTCATGATCTGATGTAGAGTCCATATTAATCACTCAAAAAGCCGAATTCAGCAGTTAAATGCAATGAGTGCTCTTTCACAAACTTCAGCTAATCTATTCTCTGCAAACAAATTCAACGCTAAGAACAATGAACTACAAGGACAACATCCACAGGAACAAATGCAGGGACATAGGGGCGTTTTCCAAGTACAGGAGGTTCTCGTGGTAAAGGAGGCTGAGGAAATCCTGAATCAAGTCCCACTTGTCACTGTGTGATAAAATTGGACATTTAGCAACTGTCTGTCACTACAAATGTGATTCCTACCACAACAATCTAGGAAATTTCGGCCACAATAATCAAGGAAATTTTAACAACCAACGGAATAATGCAGCAGCACTGCAGCAGCCTTTATTGCCACTTCTGAGTCGTTGGTGACTCCTCACGGTAATGGTGCGAGGAATCACTTAACCTCAGATTCAGACAATCTTGCCTTGAAATCCGACTATTATGGTAAAGAACAACTCACCGTTGGTAATGGTAGCCAGTTTCAAAAATTCCACACCGGACACTCTAAAAAATTCATTTCACAACATCTCCCTTGTATCTCAAAAATATTTTGCATGTCTCAAACATTATAAAAAATTTGTTGGGCATTTCTAAATTGACTGCAGATAATAATGTCATTGTTCAATTCCATTCTAATTTTCAAGTTGCGAGGGATCAGATCACCCACAAGGTT